GTGACTGGTGTCCAGGACAAGGGGCAGGGGTCCTAGAGTGGGGGAGGGCCCGGGAAGACTTTGGAGAGGAGGACGCGATGGAGTTGAGACTGAGAAGTGGGTGTGGATTTGCCGGACGGGTGGCAGAGGGCTGGGATGCCCCGGGCGCTGAGGCTTAGGAGAGCAGGGCCATCGGAGGGCAGCCTGCTTGGTATTGCTGGAGTAAAACCTGTGGTGGGGAAGGGGCGGAGGGGCAGCAGCCAGGTTTCTGAGGGGCAGGCTGGAGAGTGGAGCGGGACGTCGAGGGGGGAGGTGGGGATGGATTGACGGCACTTTAGCGGGTGGACTGCACAGGTTTGAAGCTGGACGATAGCAGACAATACTTGACCCTCCCCTCGGCTCTGGATCCCCTGAGGCCAGAGTCTGGACTTAAGCCTTGGCTGGAAGAAGGGGGGAAATGGAGAAATGAGGGAGAGAGGATTCCAGAGAAGTCTGGGTGCACGTTAGACAGTTGGGCGAGGGGTTTCAATTGGAGAACTCTCTGGAAAAGGATCTTTTTTTTTTTTGAGTCTTCTCATCTTTGGCAGGCCTTAGAAAGCAAATTCTGAGAATTATCCAAGTCTGAGTAAGCTCACTGGTGTCTCAAAATACTGAAATTACAAGAATTAAAATAAAAATACCAAATTGCATAATAAGCATAAGAAAGTCCAGCAGAGCTCTGATGTTGCCATTTTTAAAAATACCAGATTCTTTCTAGAGAAACTTTTTGTGCTGAGCTTGGCCTGTCTATGGTGGAGAAAGAGGCCTGGGAGGCTGCCACTTGGCCTGCTGCTGGGATTTGCGACTGAGGCCCGGCAAGTAGCCAGCAGGGACTGTCCCCCGTGCTGCAGCACCGCCCCCCCCCCACACACACACCGGGAACCTGCAAAAAGGAAAGGGAACAGTGGGAACAGAGGCTAATGCCGGGTCAGGGCACCAAGGCCTGGGCCCCGGGAGCAGAGTGAGGCACCTTCGTGTACAGGAGCTGGATCTGGGTCTGCATCACTTCGGGTCAGGGAAAGTAGGACACCTGACAGAGCCACGGGTGACCTGGCAGTGGCCACACTGAAGGATCTTCAGCCATGCACGGAGGTCCAGGCTGCAGCTGCTGAAGGACCCAGACCCCTCCCAGCCATGCCAGCTGAGGCCCCTTGGAGTTAGCTAAGAAGAAACTCTAAGTAGGAAGGGTTTTGGTCTATAACTTTTCTTTGGAAAAGGAGGGTTGATTCATCTTGTTCTTTGTAACCCAGGATTGCCATGGCAAGAGTGAGGGTGATGACATTAGTGGGGATGCTTTGGACAATTTGAGAAATGAGGAGACCGCCTTGTATGGGTCTCTTCCCCTTTCCTAACACAAAGCAAGGAGGAGAAATGATTCCAGCATGAGTGCCTGAGGGAGACAACACTCTTCCCCCACCCTTAGTAGTTGCTTAAATAAATGTTTAACGTTTTGGGGATTTTGTTGTTGTTGTTGTTGTTTTTGGTTGAGTTGGGTCTTCGTTGCTGCGCGAGGGCTTTCTCTAGTTCAGGCGAGCAGGGGCTACTGTTCGTTGCGGTGCGCGGGCTTCTCACTGCAGTGGCTTGTCTTGTTGCAGAGCACAGGCTCTAGGCGCGCGGGCTTCAGTAGTTGCAGCTCACGGGCTCAGTAATTGTGGCACGCAGGCCCTAGGGTGCGCGGGCTTCAGTAGTTGTGGTTTGTGGGCTCTAGAGCGCAGGCTCAGTAGTTGTGATGCACGGGCTTAGTTGCTCCGTGGCATGTGGGATCTTCCTGGACCAGGGCTCGAACCCGTGTCCCCTGCGTTGGCAGGCGGATTCTTAACTGCTGTGCCACCAGGGAAGTCCCGTTTAATGTTTTCAATAAGATTTCAGCTAAACCCAGCCAAGGGAGGGATGGCTGTGTTAAGATATTATGTTTCATTTCCTCATGAGTGACACTGATGCATTATAAATAGTTCTTTATTATGAGTTTATATACTGCCTGATACATGAAATACATTTCCTTTAAAATATTTAAAATAATTCCTGCTTATAAGCAACTTATTCGGATTATTGTTAAGATAATGTTCACATTCAAACCTTTCAATCCCAGGAAACCACTACACACACGCGGGAGGAACAGTCAGTAGTGCTGTTTACCATAGCAGTGTAAACGTTTTTCAGAATAAGGGAATGATTCTAGATTATCCGTGGTGAACAATAACTACCATTTTCTTATGCCAGCAGTGCTCACCGTGCGCTCTTAGATGCGTGAAAGGCACCACGTCTCTCCTTCCTTCCCTGACTTTAAGAGCTGCAGCGTTAAATAAAGCTGCAACGTCACACACCCAGCCCTGCTGATCTTTCGGGGTGTTATGTGGCCAGTCTACCAGCACCCCATGCACATGCTTTTCCAGAACGAGCCTTGGGCCTTGGCGAAGAGGCTAACGGTCCCACTCGCCGGGGTTCTGCTCATCACGCTCGTCCTCCTCCGAGTCAGCAGATACTCTCTTAATTCTCTGGAGCGCCGCCTTGATGCTCCTCTCCAGGTCGCTGGTGGGTTTATTGCTGGGGCTCGGGCCAGGGTCAGGGTGAACTTTCTTCAGTTTGACCCCTTGCCTTATGGCAGCCAGAATGTGCTCGTTGACTGAGGCACGGGGAGGGGACAAAGTGGGCGCTTGCACCTTCTGGAGAGGGGCCCTGTCGTGCCTTAAGGAGGCCAGCACTTCATCCATCGACCCTGAAATTGAGTAAACAGAGCAAGGAGTCACAAAATCATACCCTTTCTCCCTGAGATGCCGAGACATTTTTGTACTCGTTAACAGGGTTACGTCACCCATCAGTTAATGCGATGACGTAAACAAATCAGCATCATTCCATTAAACAAATGCTTTGATTATCTGCTAGAGAGGTCGGCCATCAGCTCCCTTTCTGAATCCAGGATAGTCTAATTGCTAATATTTTACCTTGACCACTTATTTTCCAGTACTTCTTCAAATCCATAGCAACTCCCAGGCACAGTCAAAAGTCAACATACCTTCTGTTTCTCAAGACACAGGTGTTATCATCCTTTTGTGTAACCCTGAAGATAGTTATGAATTCCTGGGGTATTAAAGTAATCCAACCCAATGTGCATTGACAGCTCTAAAATTGTATCTCCTCCATTTCCCTTCCCACTTAAGAATTTTTTTTAACGTACCCCACTGTATTTCTCCAACTTCAGTCTCGGATATTAGTCAGTGATGACTCGTGCTGTGATAATGAGGCGAGTAGGTTTCTACACATGAAAAGGCTTAAAGCAAAACTTTAATCAGTAGCTCAATGAACCCAGAGTGGGTGGCACTGGCACATTTCTCTGTATATAGTGTGTTTAATTCCACCTACATTACCCTGACATAACTTACGTGCTCTACTTTTGAGGGTGTGAAATGCTGTCAAAACACAGATTAGATCAGAGTTTCAAGGCCTTGGTGAAGAGAAGCTATTTTTCACTCTGGCACCTTGAGACCCCTGTGGGGGTAAAATCTTTTACCACCTGCTGGAGACTGGGGCATGACTGTAGCCACTCATCTAGGGACCTTCTATATGAGACTTCAAGGTGAACAGTCATTTCTAGTTCAGAATTGAAAGGCCATGCCGTGGCTAACAAGACACTTTGGATTTTAACCTATAACTTGTTATTACATTTCCCTTCTAGGAGTAATAAGACAAAGTTTCACCATCAAGGGCATTTTATTATTCTTTCCAGTGAACTGAGGCAGTGTGTGTGAGCTGATCAGGGCTTCCTACACTGTGGGCTACACCAGGCCGGAAACAGCGCTCCCCCCCACAAAGCCCTGCCACGTCCCATCTCTCGTCTAGGCCCAGGCACGTGAGCTCTCGCTTTCATTTACACGATGTTGCCACAGACCCCATGGAAATGGGCCTCCGGTCTCTACCTAAGAGCGTGCACATTTTCCTTTGTACCCGGCTCCAGGTGCAAAGAAACCTTGAACTCAGAATAACCAGAATACGCATTAACCAGAACCACAGTTTGGAACTGTTCTGTTTGTATAATTCACATCACCTAGCACAGTCCCCTTGTATGCTCTAGGCATAGGTACTCGGGCATAATCTGTAAAACAAATGTACACAGCATTTTGATAGAATTTAAACACAGACACAAACACACTCCAGAGCGGTGGGCTCTGAGTCTGGGCAGATTCCAGCCCGTCTCCTCCATAGTCAATGTCTAAATCATAATTAGAATAACGAGTAGAACGATAGCCCTCATTAGACAGAGATAGTCAAGTGTATTCACTGTGCTATACTTGCAAATGCAAAAAAGTGGTCTACTATTTTTCTGACCGCTTCATTTTAGAAAGATTTCCCGCCGCATTTATCAAACTCAGATTTAGGCTATGCTAACTTTGCAATAAAAGAGTGATAAGGCAAACAAATACTGAAATATTTTAAGATTGTAGAGAGTTCTAAAAAAGATTTTGATTTGAAGATGCAGGCTCCTAAAGCTAGAACGCTCCAACCACCCAACCACCCCTGGTGAGCAGGGACACTTCGGCAGATTACCTGGGCAGCTAAGACTGTCTGAGGAACCACACGGGCTCTCAGCGGGCGATTCACACACTAGAGGAAGTGGCTGATCATCTTTCGCTGAAGTCCTGAAGTGTAAATTCCGATGATTTGCAGATTGAGAAGAAAAGGGCGGAGCAGGGAGGGGCGGTGGTGGTGGTGGTGGTGGTGGTGGTGGTGGTGGCGGTGGCGGTGGCGGAGGTGGCGGCAGTGACAACTCCTCACTTGATCTGCAGTGTGTATGGGCACCAACTGGAACAAAAGTCTGAACAGGGACGTTTCTAGCACAGTCTTCATGCTCAGGGGTTCTCACGTTACTAACTTCAGCTAAGGGAGCGCTTCTGGTTTTCCTAGAGGACGGATGGATCACCGCCGTCATCTGAGAAGTCGGCGGGGACGTCTGCCGGGGAGGTCCACTCGGCAGGTGTGCAGCCACAGGGTGCGAGCGAGAGCTCTTTAGGGCAGAGCGACCTGGACATCTCTGAAAATGAAAAACTGTCGTGAGAAACTTGCTACAAATGCAAACCGTCAAAATGCTGAAGCTTTCTGTAAGTGAACACTGAAGCATTTCTGTGCGTGGATTATTCTAATTCACAGAGTGGCTCCTTCTCACCATGTACCGCCACCCTTGCTACTAAATCTATTAAGGAATAAGCATTTATATCCTTTCATAGAATACTTTCTCTGTAATAAAGATATGAAAGGATATATACAGATGAAAGCATTCATCATATTTTTAGTATGAAAAATCAGAAATTAGTATCAACGATAGGTGGAAAAAATTACGCTGAATTTAAAGTATTAGGCAGCCATGAAAAATCATAAGTAGTGCAAAGTCCGAAACATCCTTAAAAAATGCAGATGATCTGGTGTTAAATGTATAACCAGGTAAAAAACAGAGGTATGAAAAATACCAGCAGGGTGGACCTCAAAGTGACAGTTAAAACAGGAATTATGGATGTTTCTCTAATTTTTATGTTTAGAGCAAATTTTATAATTTAAAAATGTGAATTAAAGAAGTTCTGATGAACGCATATATGTGAAATCTAGACAAATGGCATAGTTGACTTTATTTGCAAAGCAGAAATAGAGACACAGACAAAGCAGAAATAGAGAACAAATGTATGGATGCCCAAGGGGAAAGGTATCTTGTTGGTATCACACAGTGCACCTTCAGTACCTCATCCCAGAATTATGTCTGGGAGTGGGTGGTATTCTCTTTTGGGTCATTATGAAGGTGTGTGTTGCAGGTGTGTGATGAGAACAGGTTTATGTTCTACATTCAATGAATTTAATGTTACTTTAAAGTAAGTATTTACTTTTTTTTTTAAACCTATTCACTTTTAATAGGGCGCAAAATTATACTTACATCACAATGTTTCCTTGACCAAATTTTAAAGACTTCTTTATTACAAATGAGGAAACAGCTAAATCTAAGGGCAATTTAACTATTTTCAGTTTTCCCTGCCAGCTGACACCATGGTGAGCAGAGTCACACCACCTGGTCAGGGGGCAGAGCAGGAACCCTAGTGTGCGGCAAGGTCAAAAACATCATGATATTTCTAATATTTTTGATTTTTATTTATAGACTACAAATAATGGCATTTGGGAAACATTTTATGTCCCAAATTTCTGTTCCTAATACTTTATACTTTTCTCCTAGGATGGGTGATCTTCGTTTATTTCTCCAGACGATGCAGGCGAAGTGATTATTTCTAGAACTCACCTCTTTAAATGCTCTCAATCGTTGGAGTGTTTTTTGGCGCTCTTGGTTTATCCATTCTTTTTTCTTTTGCTCCTCCTCTTTTTTCTGGTCTCTTTTCTGTATTTAAACAAACACATATTTGTAAACTTCTCAGAAGTCCTGAGAAAGAAAGGGACTGTCACCTGACCTTATTGCCTCCTCTGGCCCCCACGTCTGCCCCCCACGCCGCAGGGCCAGACTGCGCTGTCCCCTCAGGATCAAGGCTGACGGGGCAATGGAGCTCCACTTTGCACAAACTTAAGCCCATGTGTCATGTTATGCAAATATAAAACATTTTTCTTCAACCACTCACCCTCTGAACGCTATGATGCTGATGAAAATATTTTATGCTTTCTTCAGCCTGCTGCAATCTGAGTCGATGATTTTCTTTGCATTGATCCTGGGGAAATAATATAATTTCATAGATCTGTTTTTCACCTGGTTATAAATTGAACGCCACATGGTTTTTAATATTACCATGGGCTATAGCATAAAAGGTTAAAAGAAAAAAGCACTGCATTGGGGCTGCAGTATAAAGCATTTATTAATAGGAGTTATGGTGTGGCTCATTGCTTCTGCCTTCTCCTCGGTCACGTGATACGGGGCAGTGGGCTGCTTACGGGAATCCCTCCTTCCTGGTAGGAGGGCCACGGCTGGGATTTAGTGCTTTGAGAGATGAAAAAGCAAATCCTCCAAACAAGTGGAAATGAGAGGACATACAGGCAGTCCCACATTCCTAAGTGGGATGTGTCCTAAGGATCTGTTTCAATGCAATTATTTTAAACACATTTCCCCATAATGTTCTAAGTGATATCTCCAAATATACCTACGTAACACATCCAACCTACAATACCTGAAAAATTATATTAAGAACTACATCTCAATTATGCTTAGCCATTCTTAGTATGTTACCTTTTTATGTAATCACGGAGTGTTTAAAAATTAAGAAAAAAATCACTCACCGCATATAAGGATTGAAATGAGCTGAATATTATCTGACTGATATTTTATAATCAACAGTTCACAATAAAATTAATTTTAGCATTTATTATAGCTGATTAGAAGTTTCTACCTATTGTGGTTTTAAAAATACCTGTGTAAGTAATAGGCATTCAATAAATAGTTGTTGAAAGACTTAATTAAAATCTAAAGATGATGGCAAATGCTTAAATCCAAAAGGAAAAAGAATCTTCTTAAGAAAAACATTTTAAATGTATTTTAATTGTATCCACTGATAGCTACATAAACACACACAAAATTAATCATTGATAAAAAGCCTTATTTTCAATACCTCTTTATCTTTCATAAAAGAATAAACCCCCAGAAGTGGTAAGAAAAGAAAGCTGCCCTGGGCGCTCCTACCTTTCTGTTCCTGAGACGGGCTCTTCTGGCACAGATCCTGCCCCGTTTAGATTCCAGCTGCTGGCACTGCCGGCTGAGTTCCTTCACCTCCAGATTCTTATCATCCTGCAGCCCCATTACATGATCCATGACTTTAAGTTCCTCTGGATTTTCACATGGATCATAATAGATAACTTCATCCTGTTTATCTAGAAACATATTAATGATTTCTTAAAAATATGTCTTATTATTAAAAATAATGCATACTTTTTCTAATGTAAGGAAAGTTAAATATCCTTGTAATTATGATTAACATTTATGTATATCTATGTGTACACACACACACAACTTATATAGCTACACATATCAATAAACAGAATTCTTAGAGAAACTTTTCCATGTGATGGAAATATAATTTTAATGGCAACACAGTATTCTCAAATTTAAGCACTCTCTGTTGTTAGAATATTCCAGTGTTCTATTATTATCAATTTCACTGTGATGAACATCTGAATATAAATCTTTGTGGACATTTTTTATTACTTCCTTAGCAGATGAATATTTAAGGCTCTTGATGACTCTTGTCAAATCACCCTCCTCCAGAAAGGCAACTTACATTCCACCAGCAGTATATCATTAAGGTGCCTTAATGATATTTAATCTTAATTACATATTGATTTTTTAAAAATACATGCTAACTGTAACAAATTCAAGCCCTACAGAAGTACACAAAATAAAAAGTGAAATTTCCCTCTTCCTTCACCAACTCTTTGGCATCTTATTCCCAGAGGAAAACATGGACAGTTTGGCATGCATCCTTCCAGATTAACTTTTTTCTAATAGAAGTTTTTCCTAAATATGTAAAATGCTTATAACGTGAAGCTACTGTAAAGTTTTTTGAATATCTAGGATTAAATTAAATGTTCAGGATCTATATGAAGAAAATAACTAAACTTGGAGGAACTTTAGGGAAAAAAAGACTTAAGTAAATGGAGAGACATACCATGTTCTTGGATGGGAAGATTCAAAATTGAAAAGATGACAATTCTCCCCAAATTATCTCTAATGTTAAGTGCAATCCCAATAAAAATTCCGAGTTTTGGGGGTTTTTTTGTTTTGAACTTGCCAAAATGATTCTAAAGTTCATCTGGAAGAATAAAGGAGTGAGAAAAGTCAGAAAATTTTTGGAAAAGTAGAGTAATGAGGGAAGTACTTGCTTTACCTGATACTAAAATGTACCTCCAAGGTACAATAATAGAAACAGCATGGTACTGGCACCAGAAGCCACTCACAAATCAGTGAAAGAAAATAACAATTCATAAATAGATCAAAACAAATATGATAATTCTGGATATGAGACAGGTAAAACTCAAAGCAAAGCAACAGGGGAAAATGTTTTTAAAAACTAGTGATTGGGACTGCTAACAATTTGGGGGGAAAAGTTAGATTCCTACCCCACATCAAAATAAATTTCACCTGGATTAAAGAGCCAAATGTTTTTAAAAACAAAATCATAAGAATACTGAAATAAAACATAAGTAAATACTGATATAATTTTGGGATAAGGAGGTATAACACCAAAGCAGAAGACTGATAGAGGTGACTTCATAATAATTAAATATTCCTACAAGGCAAGAAAAAGCAAATGACAGAGAAATTATTTGCAACATATGACAGATAATAGAATAACATCTCTAATATAGAAAGGGAATGTTCCAAAGAAAAATGGTCAAAGGCCATGAATAGGCCATGAATAAATGAAATACAAATGGCCAGTAAACATACAAAATTGCGTTCAACATCACTTGTGATTAAATAAATGAAAATTAGAAGATGCCATTTTTTGCTCTCAAGTAGGTGAGAATTTAAATGAATAAGTATGGGGAAAAAGCTATTTTTATAATCAGCTGATGGGAGCATCATTTTGTACAACCTATCTAGAGGGCCATTATGTAGAATGAAATTTAGAAAATAATAGAGGTGCAGAAAAATGCATATCAAATGACTCTTGTAGTTTTTTTTTAACAAGTATGTGTCAAAATGTAAAACATGCATTGTCCTTGACCTGATTCCATCTTTAGAAATTTATTCCAAGGAAATAATCTGTTGTATACACAAAGACATGTAAAGGAAGGTTCTTCACTACAATGCTGTTCACAACAGTGAAAAACTGGAAATCCCTGCATGTCTATACAATGGAATACTATGCAGCCATTAAAATTTTTGATGGTTTTATTACTTACTGAAATGGAAGAATGATTATTATGTATTAAGTGAAAAAGAGGTTACTGAACAGGATACATAGTTCTGGTTTAAGAAATTGAAAGATTTATAAACATCAGCATACAAAAAAGGCTACAAAGCTATAGAGCCTAAGTATCTCTAAACGATTTAACTGGGGTAATAATAGTTTCCCTTTGTTTTGCTGTGTGTTTACCAATGAATATATTATTTGAATAATAAAGTACTAAAGGGAAACTTTGTTAGAAAATTTCAGATATATTAGACAATATACAAGAATTGATAATCTGTATTTCCTTGAATGTGTAATTTAAACATATATACATTTAAATATATGTTTTACCTTTTATAAGTCTTTTAATAGAGTCCAACTGTGTAACAAGCAGTATTTCTTCATATTTTAATATCTCAAATTTAACCTCGTATAGTTCTAACTGAACTTCATAATACTGTATTTCTAATTCATCTACAACATTTTTTTTTTCTTGTTCTGGAAGATCTTCTATCTTGTTTTCATGAAAAAAATAAGAGCAAGTTAAAATAATTAGTACACTAAAGGCAAACTTTACAAGCATTCAAGTTATTTTCTATTCCTTGCTCAATATCAAATATAAAAAAAGCAAATAGAGAAGAAACACTTTTCCATTTCATTTAATGGGATAAAAATGCCTTCTTCAATGTTTGTCACAAATACTTTATCTCATCCCTGAAATATATGAAAACATTTAGGTTTTGAGAAAAATAAACGGCAATGAGGTATTTACAAATGTTTTCTGCTTTAAAGTCATAATGTTACAGGAAAAAAATTAAGTGACTACGCTTCTAGGATAAAGCACCTCTTTGATTATTCTAAAATTGTGCTGAAAACACGGCTTGATTGATTTTAAACTACTGAGTACTTGATTGATTTTAAAGTACTACATCAGTACTGAGTTTGATGTTATCGTCAAGTGAATCCTACAATATAATATTTCACAAACAGGGACCTCCTTGGTGGCGCAGTGGTTAAGAATACGCCTGCCAGTGCAGGGGACACAGGCTCGATCCCTGGTCCAGGAAGATCCCACATGCCGTGGAGCATAAGCCGATGCCCCACAACTACTGAGCCTGCGCTCCAGAGCCTATGAGCCACAACTACTGAGCCGACATGCCTAGAGCTTGTGCTCCGCAACAAGAGAAGCCACTGCAATGAGAACAGCGCACCGCAAGGAAGAGTAGCCCCCGCTCACCACCACTAGAAAAAGCCCGCACGCACCAATGAAGACCCAACAAAGCCAAAAACAAATAAATAAATAAACAATTTAAAAAAAATAATATTTCACAAACATTTTGACCAAAGGGAAACTTCACGGCCAACCTTCCACAGTCTGCAAATTCTTATCTACTGGAAGATGGTGTTGGAATAAGCAAAGAAAGGAAGCTCTTTCACAATGCCTGGAAAGAAAGATTCTACCTAAAATAAAAGTATATTTTTAAAAGAAAGTTTCACTTATCTTTGTCTCACCTTTCCCTGAATTTCAGCTCTTTTGTGACTGAAACACAACTCTTTGGCTCTCATGAGTTGCAGAGTCTCCCGAGCTAACATCAGCTTGAGTTTTTCTAACCTGGGAGTTGCTGTGGCCCAGGCAGCCTGGCCAAATCTCTTCTCATCCTGTGCCATTTGTTTCTGCATTCCTGTTGTGTTGTAATTAATAAAATAAAACATAATTACAACTCATTAAAAACAGAAAAATTTATCCTGAACTAATTCTTTGTTTATTGCCTCCCATGTTACCTGCAAAACATCCCTTTTAAAAGAAAAATTCTTGGATTTTAGTGAATTTTTATTGTCACAAAAATAATGCATGGTTATTGGTATAAAATTTTAGATAACTTCATTTAAAGAAAGAAAATAATAAATCATGAATCTCACTT